AATAATAATGATGATGAATAAAATTAAATAAAATAATTCTTTAAAAAAAAAAAACAAGAAACCAAGATCTTGAGGGACCAGCAGATAGCATAATGGTTACATCACTGGACTCCCATATAACTGACTGTGGATCGAGTCCTGGACTGGGCAGCTTAAATACTTACCCAGGGCATGTGTGCACGTGTGCCCAAAATCCTGAGAGGAGACTGGAGGAGAAGGGATTGCTGTGTGGCTACCTCTCTGGGGAGTAATTTCTCAGTTTCCTGTCTCTCTGTGAGCACATGTGCCCTACAGCAAGAATTCTCTAAAAAAAAAAAAAAAAGAAAGAAAGAAAGAGAAAGAAAAGAAAAGAAACCAAGATTTTGATTGTGAGAGTGCTCGTCACTACTCCTGAGTTATTGCTTCTGGCCTCTCTCAGCTGGCAGAGCAAGGACCTATGTGTATGTACATTAACCCATGTACACACATATCTTTAAGTATTTCTGTGTGTAACCATCTGCATCTATATTAGCTGAAAATCAGTTTATACTGATGCCTTCAACTCCAATTCATTACCACATGGATCATTCTTGCCTCCTCCCCTGTGGATGTACTGGGGCCAGCGGATAGCGTAGTAGTTAAGGCGCTTCTCTGTAACTTCTCACTCAACAGCCTAATCACCTGCTACCCATTAACTTCTTCATTCAGTTACAGTATACTGTGTAGTGCTTTCAGAGCTGGTAAGCTGGGTCCCATGAAGGATGACTTCATCAGGAATGCAGGGGACCAGCAGTTAGCATAATGGCTATGTCGCTGGACTCCCACGTAGTCGACCGCGGTTCGCATCCTGGACCCAGTGGCTTAAACTCACACCAGGCACATGTGCATGTGTGCCCAAGATCCTGAGAGGAGAAGGGATTGTGGCATGGCCGTCCCCCCTGGGGGGTGATTTCTCGCTTTCTGTTTCTCTGTCTCTCTGTCTTTCTGGCGAGCGCACACGCCCTAAAACAAACAAACAAAAAAAAGAGTGCAGCACTTATAGGTCCTTTGGCCTTCAGTCTCACAGACCACTCTTTTCCAAAGTTCCCTAGCTCAGTACTTTATCTTCGATCCATTCTAGTGAATATTTTTCATACACTTGTGATACATTTAGATGCTTATTGGGCTCCTTTGATCTCCTAAATTACTCTTTAATTTGCATTCGGGAAGGTTTACTCTGCTAAAAAGTTCTGTGAGTTTTTATAAATGCTTAATATCATGTATTCACCATCACAGTATCAGATCGAATAGTTTTAGTGCCTTAAAAAACTCCCTTGTGCTTCACTTATTCAATACGCCCCTGTCCTAAACACCTGACAACCCCTGTTCACCATTTCTCTAGTTTCCTTTTTCCAGAATGTAATATAATTGGCATTTTACACTGTGTAGCTTTTCATGAATGACTTCTTTCTCTTAGCAATGTGCATTTAAGAGTCATCCATGTCTTCCTGCGACTTAATAGCTATTTCTTTTTATTCCATTGTATGGAAGTGGCATAGTCTATCCATCCATTCAGGACATCTTGGTGGACATCTTGAAGGACATCTTGGTGGCTTCCAGTTTTGGGAAAGTGTTAATAAAGCTGCTATGAACATTTGTGTTCAGGCTTTTTTTGTGGACATAAGTTTTTCAGTCAGTTGGATAAACACCTAGGAACATGATTGCTGGACTGTATTGTAGGGCAATGTTTAATTTTGTAAATAAACAACAAAAACTGTCTCCCAGTGTGGATGTGCTGGGGCCAGTGGATAGTGTAGTAGTTAAGGCATTGCAACTCCCACATGGTCAACCACAGTTTGAATCCTGGATCCAGAGGCTTGAAATTCACGCCAGACACATATGTGTGCATGCCCAAAATCCTGAGAGGAGAATGGAAGAGAAAAGATTGCAGCATGGTCATCCCCCTGGGGGTCGATTTCTTTCTTTCTGTCTGTCTGTCTGTCTCTCTTTGTCTCTCTGACTAACACACAGGCCTGGTAGCAAAAATCTCTAAAAAAAAATTTTAAAAAAGAGGTAACAAAAAGAAAAACAAAGTGGATGTACTGTATGTACTTCCACCAGTGATAAATGAGGGCTCCTTTGCCCTGTTTAATTGACATCAGTGGGTATGGTCAGGTTTTTTGTTTGTTTTTTTCTAATAGTATCTCTCTCTCTCTCTCTCTCTCTCTCTCTCTCTCTTTTGAGAGGTTTATGCTATAGGGCACATGCGCTAGCCAGACAGACAGAGAGAGACAGAGGGACAGAAAGCGAGAAATCCCCCCCCAGGCGGGATGGCCACACTGCAATCCCTTCTCCTCCATTCTCCTCTCAGGATCTTGGGCACGCATGCACACACGCCTGGCGTGAGTTTTAAGCCACCGGGTTTGGGACTCGAACCGCAGTCGACTACATGGGAGTCCAGCGAAGTAGCCATTACGCTAACTGCTGGTCCCAGTGTATCTCATTTTAACCTGCAATTCTCTAATGACAAATGATGATAAACATCTTTTCATGCCCTGCTTTTTCTCATTATTTCCTTTGGTCTTTTCAGATCTTTTGCCCATTTTTTAACTGTGTTGTTTATTTCCTTATTATTATTATTTTTTAAGAGAGGTCTTTGCTATAGGGTGCATGCACTCACCAGAGAGACAAAGAGACAGAAAGCAAGAAATCACCCCCCAGGGGGGATAACCACGCTGTAATCACTTCTCCTCCACCCTCCTCTTGGGATTTTGGGCACGCACACACATGTATGTGCCTTGTATGACTTTTAAGCCACTGGGTTCAGGACTCAAACTGTGGTCAACTACATGGGAGTCTAGCAACATAACCATTACACCATCTGTTTGTCCCCTTATTGTTCTTTTAAAAGTTCTTCGTACATTTTGGATACCACATGTTTTTGGGGGTTTTTTGGTTTTTTTTTTTTGAGAGATTTTCACTGTAGGGCGCGTGCGCTCGCCAGACAGACAGAGACATAGAGATAGAAAGCAAGAAATCACCCCCCAGGGGGGATGGTCACACCGCAATCCCTTCTCCTCCATTCTCCTCTCGGGATCTTGGGCACGCACGCACACGCGCCCGGCGTGAGTTTTAAGCCATCGGGTCCGGGACACGAACCACGGTCGACTACGTGGGAGTCCAGCGACATAGCCATTACGCTAACTGCTGGTTCCCGATACCACATGTTTTTTATCAGTTGTATGTTTTGCAAATATTTTTTTCTCAATTTGTGGCTTATCTTTTCATAGAGCAGAAGTTTTTATTTTAATAACCTCAACAATTTTTCCCCTTATAGATTGCACTGTTGTGTCACATTTTAAAAGTCACCGCCACACCCAAAGTCACATAGATTTTCCATAGAGCAGAAGTTTTTATTTTAATAACCTCAACAATTTTTCCCCTTATAGATTGCACTGTTGTGTCACATTTTAAAAGTCACACCCAAAGTCATGTAGATTTTCTTCCATGTTTTCTTCAGGGTGTTTTATAGTTTTATATTTTATATTTATGTCTGTAGTTCATTTATAGTTAATTTTGGTAGAAGATGTTTCTGTATCTAGATTTGTTTTGTTTTGTTGTTTTATGCAAACGTCCTATTGTTCCATTTATTGAAAAAACTGTTCTTTCTCCACAAAATTGCCTTTGCTCCTTTATATCTGTGTGGGTCTAATTCTGGTCCCTGTTCTGTTGACTTGTGTATTTTTCTTTTTCTTTTCTTTTTTTTTTTTTTTCATAGAGAGATTTTTGTTATAAGGTGTGTGCACTTACTGGAAGGACAGAGAGAGACAGAGAAATAAAAAGCGAGAAATCATCCCCCAGAGGGAATATCCACGTTGCAATCCCTTCTCCTCCATTCTCCTCTCGCGATCTTGGACACACATGCCTGCCGTGAGTTTAAGCCTCTGGGTCCAGGACTCGAACCATGGTAGACTACATAGGAGTCCAGCAACATAACCATTATATCATCTGCTGGTCCCAGCCTGTGTCTTTTTCTGTGTGTCTTTTTTTGCCAATACTACACAGCCTCGAACACTTGTAGCCTAATGGAAATTCTTGAAATGAAGCAGTGTTATTCTTCAAGCTTTACTCTGAAGCTCAGATTTGCTTTTAAATAGCTAGCCTCGACGTATCCATCATGCGCTACTCTCTCACTTTCTCCTGTTCCCACCAGCCTGCGGGCTCCTCGAGAGCAGGGCCCATGTAGGACTCAAACCTGAACTCCAGAGACCAGGGCAAGGTCTAGCTTATCATCATCATCATCACCATCAAATTTTGGATTAATGGCCCTTCTAACTGCCAGGCCTCAAGGAACACCCCAAATTTCCATGATTTCCAACACTTTCTCTGCCACCTCTGTGCCCAGGACTGAGCTAGGTCCGAGCCCTGAGGGTGGTTCCCTCCTTCTGCCAGGTCTCTGTGTGCTGCACTTGGTGGGGAAATTCAACCACTAGCCAGGTTGGAAGTGGCAGAGGCTGCTGTGCCCTGTCCTTGGACTTGGGGTTCCCCCCACCTCCTTTTCCAAGCAGTTGACAGCCTTCCCAGAAGACCCTGATGCCAACCAGGCAGCCCCCTTCCTAGGCATGAAGTGGAGAGATGGAGGGAGGTGGTTTTGTGCCTTAAACAATGAGGGGATAAGGATCCCCAAAAGGGCTCACCTCCTTTGTAGGGCCTCCTTTCCCTCTAAATGAGCCTATTGGGTGGGCCAGCTTGTATGTATCTGTCCCAGGATCCTGGCTTTCAGGGACATCCTGTGGTGGAAGAGGAAGTGGGGAGAGAGGGGTGAGACCCAACCTAAGAATTCTCTAGGTGGGGCATGGAGAGACAGACCTGGAGAGGGGGGTGACAAACCAGGGGAACCTCCCACACACACACGCCGTCCCTCTAAGATGACTTCTATCAGTCTTTCCTTCCATGTCTTAGTTCTGGGTGACCAGCCCTATTATGGGGTTGGGGCTGCAGCACCCCAGCACTATAGGAAAACTTCGTGTGTTTCTCCCCAGGGAAGCAGCTACCATGCTTTATTAGCCGGCTGTGCTTCTCAAAGGAAGAGAAGACCAGTATAAATCGAAAGCCCCGAGGTAGCCTTTCCCTTCCCTACCAAAACACAGCCCCAGACAGGTGGGCTGGAAACTGGGCCTCCCGAGGGGTGGGGACTCTGTTGAGTGGTGGGGGCAATTACCAGGTGGGGGTTCACAAGGATGCTGGGTATAAGGTCCTGCTGGATGCAGAATGCTCACTGGGCATGGGGGCACCACTTCACCTAGAGTCCATGCACTGCCATGAGGCCTGCCAGGCGCTGCCTCCGGGCACACTTAATACACCCAGCAGGCTCAGGGTGAGGAGCAGGGCGAGGATAGGGGTGTCCAGAGAGGAGCAGCACAGGCTCACTGCCCTGAGAGTGGGTGAGAGCTGAAGGGTAAAAGGGCAGAGAGCACTGGCTGGCTTCAGCCTGGGCAACTGTGGGAGTCAAAGGAGGCAGAGGGCGCCCCGGGGCTCCCCAATCACTGCAGGGATCAATGGGAATGAAGCTCAGGATCACTTAAGGCCTCAAGTCTGGGCTGCCTGAGGAGGACCCTGGCTTCCCTCCAGGCCCACCCTCAGAACCCCAGGCTAGGTCTCCCACTGAGGCAGAGGTGGGGTTGAGGCCCAGCCCCAACTACCCCACCTGAGCCCAATCCCACTCCTCTCCTTGCACTCACTCTGTTCCTCACCTGCAGCCGTGAAACAGCCCAAGGAGCTGAACAAAGTCTGCACCACCCCTGGCTGTGTGATGGCAGGTAAGCCTCTCCCTCCATGCCTTTCACAGCCGTACCCCGGGGGCTGGGGCGGTGGGGGGCGTGTGGGACTTCCGGGTGATGGCAGCGCAGCTAGTCCTGACACAGGGATGAGGGACTGGGTGGACTAAGCTCATGGTGGGGTGGAAGGAATTGGGCTTCTGCTCACTGTCACCGGTGAGCTCCAGTCTCCACCTTTGCAGCAAGGCCCCGTGACAAGCCATGGAACTGCCAAGGATCTCAGGAGCTCCTGCATGTGTTTACAGACAGAAAAATAGTTCAAATGAACATGAACGCTCTTTAAGTTTCCTCCTAGAAATTTGACTTAAAATTGGGAACCATTATACCACTACTTACAGATGACAAAAACAAAAATGGTGTGAAGAAACACTAGTGAGGAACTCTGAAGTGTGCTTTTCCTGCCCACGTTGGGAGCCTAGAGGCCTATAGGGAAGCTTTCTGCAAAGTTCTCAGGCTCAAAGCGGGCTTAGACCAGACCAAGTAGCATAGAATTGGAGCGAAGGTCTCTTTGGAGGGATCCAAAGAGGGTCCAGCCCAACCATTCCAGCTAAGAGCATTCCTCTGAGAAGCTCATGTTCCCCCGACCCCTCACAGTCAGGGTTTCTGACAGAAAGCCAAACACTCTTACAGAAAACAAATCCTGCAGTGGCTAAGAATACCCCCCTCTCCCAGGGACCAAGTAAGGGGCTCTAGGGGCAGAAGGCTCTGGCCCAGCTCACAGGACGGGGTCACCAGCTGGGCACTTCTTGAGAGCCAGGCACCATCTTGTCCCATCACCGTAATCCTCAAGATGGACTGCTCATGTTCTTTGCAGAGGAGCAAATGAGACTTGGAGAAGACACAGGGTTTCAGGTCATATGGTTAATAAGTGGTGGCCCTAGCACTTGAATCCAAGTTGGGTGACTCTGCCCTTATTTCTGGCCTCTCTGCAGCTCAGAGAGGGTGAGTATCTCTCTCAAGGGCACACAGTTGCAACTGAATCTCTGACAGCCCATCCCCAAGGAACGAGACTGTCTCTCAAGCTTTGGGGGCATCTAAAAATTAGTCTCCCCTTTCCCTCCTGCACCCCTGGGGGCCAAGCAGCTGCCAGGATCCTCCGTAATATGGACCCGTCCCAGGAACCATGTGATGACTTCTACCAGTATGCTTGTGGAGGCTGGCTGCAGCGCCACGTGATCCCGGAAACCAACTCCCGATACAGCGTCTTTGATATCCTTCGAGATGAGCTGGAGGTCATCCTCAAAGGTGGAGAGCAGCTGTGGCCTTGAGGGTGCAGTGGTTGAGGCGGGTGGCAGTGAGGCCCAATGGGGACAGCACCAGGCCTGGGGCTGACTGGGTCTTGGCTGGGATGCACCACTGAGCAGCCCACTGAGCCCTCCTGGTCTCCACTTCTTCCCCTGCCCAGTGGGCACAGAGGACAGGGAGTCCTCCAGTATAAAGGCCCAGTGGGTGGGGGAGGGACCACCTCTCACCAAGTGTTACAGTGGGCATTAGAACCTTTGACCTGGACTCCCAGCAGCTGCCTTGGCTCTCTGTCCAGCCTTCTCCTCTGTCCACAGCGGTGCTGGAAAATTCCACCACTGAGGACCGGCCAGCTGTGAAGAAGGCCAAGATGCTGTACCGCTCCTGCATGAATCAGAGTGAGTGGGAGGCGGGGCTGTCAGAAGGGGCTGAGGGGGTAGGCAGTGGCATTGTAGTTAAGGCAGCTGGATCCTACATGGCCAACTGTGCAATTCGAGTCCTGGACTGGGGAGCTTAAAAAGCATACTGGGCAGGACCAGCAGATGGAGTAATGGTTATGTCGCTGGACTCCCACATAGTCAATCATGGTTCAAGTCCCAGACCTGGCAGCTTAAAACTCACACCAGGCACACATGTGTGCATGCCCAAAATTCCAAGAGGAGAACGGAAGAGAAGGAAGAAAATCATACTGGGCACATATGTGCCCGCGACCAAAAATCCCAAGAGAAGAATGGAGAAGAGACTCTGGCAGAGGGTCCTTTCTCATCTCCCGTTCTCTCTGTCTCCTTCCAGTGAGCACACATATCCTATAGCAAAAAAAAAAAAAGTCCTTTCTCTTATCTCCTGCTCTCTCTGTCTCCTTCCAGTGAGCACACACACTCTACAGCAAAAAAAAAAAAAAAGAAAAGAAAAGAAAGAAAGAAAGAAAGAAAGGAGCGGAGGGAGCGGCTAGCTGGTGGGAATCCCCGGCCAGGGACCAGCTCAGTTCCAGATCTCTGGAGCAGAGCAGGCTGGGAGTGGCCCCACTCAGGACTCTTGCCAAAGGATCTGTGTGCTGTGACCCCCACCTGGCCATGGGGTCTAGTCTTCCTGCTGGCACGGTCTTACTGCCAGCTGCTCGGTGCTCTGGCTTACACACTTCTCAGGCAGCAGGAAGACAATGGGGGGGCCGGCTTAGAAGCCCAGGAAAAATGGGCATGTGTTTTAATGCATGTATGTGTGTACGTGTATAGATTATATGTGTACATGCATGTTCATGTGCATGTTTATTGCGTATGCATGTGTGTACATAGATATGTGTGTACATGCATATATGTGTATGCCTATATGTGTAAATGTGCATTTATGTATGTATATTCATATGTTTGTATGTGTATGGGTATTATGTATATGTGTATTTGTGTGCATTCTTATGCATAGTGTGTGCATGTGCATGCATGTACATTTGTGTGTACTTGTGTGTGCTGTGTATGTGTATGTTCATGTGCACATGTGCACATGTGCGTGCACATGTGTGTTCACAAATATATTTATGTATACACATGCACATATATATTGTTCTGTGCACATGTATATTGTTCGTGTGTGTTGTTCCTGTTATGTGTGTGTGTACATGTGTATATCTTTGTGTGTGTTTATCGATGAACATTATGTATGTTGTGTATGTGTGTTTGGCATACATATGTGTGTGAGCATGTGCACATAAATATATATGGGTGTTATATTGTATGCATATTGTTTGTGTGGGTATGTGTGAATGAGTGTGGATATGTATGTGTGTACATGCACATGCACTTGTGTTACGGGGCAGAGTTTCAGTATTTTGGTTCCCATTTAAAGGATTTACATGCTTCGGTACCCTATCCCAGAGTCCCTTAAACTTTTGGCTTGGGGAGTCTACACAATCAGCCTGGGGAGACTCCCCTCTCTACACTCAGCACCAGGTTCAAAGCCAACTATTTTCCTGGGACATCTCCTGGAGAGGGATTTTTTTCTAGTGTACTTGGAATACATTGTGACCTCAGCTGATGGGAGTTTTATAGGGGGTGTCTTCATGAGACCCTGTGCTCGGGCACACTTGGGCTGTTTCCTCTCCTCCCCGTGGAAACCAGAGTCGGTTCACCTGGTGTGTGACCAACACTCACCAGGCGAAGGCAACTTCCTCCGTGTTCCCACATTGACTTGTTTTGGGCCTGAGGGACTGAATGTACGAACAGGCAATGACATACTGTATCTAAAATCGAGCCCTGACCCACAATCTGCAGCAACCTTCCAGAAGTTGACCCCTGTCTACTGTAACTGGCCCAAGAAGCTAAACAATAACCTCTGTAACAATTGACCCAAAACAAACAGGACTTGATTTATAGCGGACAGCTTTACTTTGTCCTCCTGCTTCCAGCTGAAGACCAACCAGATAAAGCTAAACGCATCCCCTATCCAATCCCGTAGGACTCCACCTGTAGCTTCTCCAGGCCAGTGGCCTCCATCACGGTCACCTGGGTCTTCTCTAGTCCAATGTGAAGCTCCCCACAGTCAGCCTGCCTTTGACCCGCCATATGCAGTGATGGTGGCCAACTGAGGCGAGCCCTGAGGCCTTCGTGTTCCCTGTTTGGGTGGTGTTTGTTTATTTACACAGTGATTTTCTCTACTTTCCCACCTTTACTCGATTTTTGGTTCAAACGCTCCTGAGTTTCTTGCCAGATCACCACTGCACTAGAGAAAGTATGTTTTATATTCTACTCAGCATCACTGGTCGCCCACAATCCTGGGCATGAAAGTTGTTTTGATACATTTGCTTTCGGTAATAACAGAATAACACAGACTAGGTAACATTACCAAAAACAGAGGTTTGTTCAGCTGGTGGTTGTAGAGATCCAAGGTTGAGGACCTCTGGGCAGAAGGCTTAAGGGGGTTGGGGTCTGGGTCTGGGTGCTCCAAGCATGTATATCCTTTTAACGGGAACCAAAATACCAAAATCTGCTCCATAACATACACACATGTATATGTATATACAGTATAACAGTCGTACACACATATACACACATGCTCTCTCTCACACAATACTACATTCACATATATATGATAAATATTCATACATGCATACATATATACATACACACATGCCCATATACATATAACACGCGCAGCTGAAGAAGGTCTGCTTGCTGGTGGGCACACTCTGCAGGGTCCCAAGGGGTGAGAGGGCAAGAGCACATATCTGGTCTGTGTCCAACTTTTTATAAAGCCACCTGGATTCAGTCACAGGGGCCCCATCCTGGTGACCTTATTTAATCTTGATTACTTCCTATAGGCCCCACCTCTAATAGCATCTCAGATGAAGTTTGCATCCCCTTAATAGCAATCAATTTTCAACACACAAATTTGGCGGGGACCCATCCCAACCAAGGCAGAAATCTTGAGGGCTCCTCCTGCTTAGTCCTCCCACCACCCCCCCTCTCAGTGCTGCCAACTCCCGAGTCTTCTCAAAGCATTCCCTGCTGCCAGGACCCTTCCACCTATGGGGCCACCACTACTCCTAGACATACTTGCTCCTGCCTCCTTGCCTGCCAGCTCCTTTGCATCGTTTCCTTCGTCCTGGGAAGCTCGGGTGCTTGTATCAGGCCCCCAAGTCCTTTCTTGCCTGGGTCCAGGCTCTGCTCTTCCCAGGCCTTCTGTCTTCTGTGCTGGGGGGATGCCGAGACTGAGTCTGTAATGGGATGGGGGGTTGTACTGGACGTTAGTGTCCCCGAGGGTCTTGGCTGTGGCATGTTGCACCACCAGGAGTCTGGGTGGCTGACCACTACTTTCCTCCTCAGGCGTGATAGAGAAGCGAGACTCTCAGCCCCTGCTGGACATCTTAGAGGCAGTGGGAGGCTGGCCGGTGGCCATGGACGACTGGAACGAAACTAAAGGTAAGGCCAGGATCTGGTGGCAGCCTCTGAGACAGACAGAGGGTGTCTGGGCCTGGTGCTCCTTGGAGTTGAGAACTTCCAGGGGAGGCCACCCAACTGGCTGGCCACTCACTTTTTAGGAGCCCTGAGAGGCCCAACCTGCCAAGCCTAGCCCCACTGGAGAGGCAGTGCCAGTTGTGATGGGGACTCCTTGGGCTCCTTGGGGCTGATCTCATTCAGCTCTGCAGAGGGGTGTTCCTTCTAGACCATTCAGGACTCAACTCCCTGGCCCAGGCCAAGGCTGAAGCCCTGCGCTCCCAGCTCAGGTGCATGCTCTACTCTCTGCTCTGGCCCACCTCTGACCCTGGGGGCATGCTGACATACAGAGCAGTTGGTGGTCCTGGTACAGATGCTGTGCCCAGACCCCGTTTTGCCTGCGGGCCATTTAAGGAAATATGTCTCCCATATCCCCCAACTCCTGCTCTCAAGCTCTCAGTGAGGTCACTACCCTGAGCAAAGCAGGTGTCTCTAACACCCTCTGAAGTTCAGGCATAGGAGGCTAGACTCACTGTCCATTAAGGGGCTAAGCTAAAACCAGGGGCTAGGATGTTGCCCCAGGGCCTGGCCTACCACACAGTATGGGCTGCCGACCCCCCCAGGCCCCGAGTGGTTGCTGGAACGACAGCTGGCTGTGATGAACACACAGTTCAACAGGCGTGTCCTCATTGACCTCTTCATCTGGAACGATGACCAGAACTCCAGCCGGCACATCATCTACGTACGAGCCATGTGCGGGGGGCTGGGGTAGGCTGGGTCCCCTGTGCCTGGCGAGGGCTTGGGGGAGGCTGAACCCTGGGCGTGCCCCAGAACCTGAGCTTCCCAAGCCTGCCCTTGTCCATGTCTGTGATTCTGGGTTCTGGCTGCTGATGAGCTTCTTTTGGGCTCCAGCAGGACCTGTGTTCTGCTTAGAGGTACTGGCCCCCAAGCCCAGCCTGGTTCTCAGGAACAGTGAGGCCTCTGGCACCAGGGCCAACACTGCTCATGACTGGATGGCCAGAAACACACATGGCAAATGTGCAAAGCACTCTGGGAATACTGAGGGTGCTGGGAGGCCCCCCCCCCAAGTAGCCTGTCCCATTTCAGACCCCTCTCACCCTCCAGGACTGTTGCCCCTTGTCTTGGCAGGCCTCCCTCTGTCACTCAGAGCATGGCTTACACTCCTGGAGGACGGCACACCTCCAGTATCTGATTTCAGGGTTATTGGGAGTAGCGGGCTGCTACCGACCTCAGCCAGGCTGCAGGGACCCCTGCTCCTTGCCCAGGGTCATACCCTCTGTACTTCCAGATAGACCAGCCCACCTTGGGCATGCCATCCCGGGAGTACTATTTCAACGGAGGCAGCAACCAGAAGGTGAGCTGGGGGCCCTGCTGCCTGATACTACCCCCCAAAACCCGACCCATCCCTTAAGGCCTGCCTGTGACCTGGCTCTCCTGTTGGTACACTTGACCCTTCCACCATACTGCTAGCCTTCATGTGCACCTGGGCGGATCAAGCCTGGCACTGAGAGCAGGGGATGCAGATGCACCTTCACCTTCATTGTCATAGGGGACAGTTCCCTCAACAGCCATCTGAGCAGCCCTTGGGGGAAGACACTGTTATCCCACCCCACCAGTGCAGAGCCAGGGGCCACACTGCCCATCTCCTGGGAGGGCCTGTAGGGATAATGCAGTTACCTGGGCCCTGCACCCACTCCTTGACCATTTGGTTAGGCAAGAGAGGAAAGAGACAAAGGGACCATGAGCCAGTGGGCCCAGGGCTAGCCAGGTGGAGGGAAGAGTCGGGGAGGACAGGGGCTGAGCAGGAAGTGAGACCACCTGGTGGAGCCAGGCTGTGAATCAGGCTTTAAGGATGGTAGAGCTGGGAGGAAATATGGGTGTGAACAAAAACAAGAGCCATGGGATGGGATAGGGTGCTTGGGGAACCAGGCCAGGGGATCCAGCTCAGAGCAGCAGGCACTGGAGTGTCTCAGAAAGCCTGTGTCTGGCCTCCCTGATCAGATCAGGCAGCTGTGGACCAAACACTGTCAAGGACACAGCAGTGGGGAAGAGGTGACCTCTGTGGTTCCTGGCCTCTCTCCAGATGGGACATAAGGCAGGCAGGTTCAGGAGGAATGCAGAGCCTCAGGGTCCAGTTCCTGATGCTCAGGCTGAGGAAAGCCTGACGAGGGAGGCCCAACTTAACCCTGACACCTGACATCCATGGACCTTGGCTGAGCCTGTACCATGCCAAACCTTTGTGCAGCCATACTGTTTAATCCCCACGCAGCCCTGCAGAGTGGAGGCTTAGAGCCATGGGTCATACATGGGTCATACACCCATGGGTCATACAGCCATGGGTCATACATCCCTAGAAGGGATGTAACTGGGACCAGAACTCTACCTGTGCCATTCAGGCATAGCGTGTGATCAATGCACAGGGTTTGGAGAGCTGGCCTAGCCCACAGATCTCAGTTCCACCTGTGGAGCTCAGCCCACTAGCAGGGTTGTTCCAGGGAGTGTGGTGGACAGGGAGGGAGGTCCCTGACCTAGGAAGGCCCAGGCAATACGAGACTTCTTCTCCAGTGCTTCCGTGCCTGAGAGCCTGCTAGCCCAGTAAGCTCTGTAGGGGCTGCTCTGAATCACGTGCCCACCCCCTCACCCTACAGAGTTGCATGGGGCCCAAGGTGGCTGAGGTCTGCCATCTATGACCTGTACCCTTTGGCCCAGGTACGGAAAGCCTACCTGCAGTTCATGATGTCGGTGGCCACGATGCTGCGGGAGGATATGAGTCTCCCCAAAAACAGCCACCTGGTGCAGGAGGACATGATGCAGGTGCTGGAGCTGGAGACACAGCTGGCCAATGTGAGGCGGGGCCAGGGCAGGCCAAGGAGGGCCTGGGGATCCTAGGGCTGGGCCCTTGTCACCCACCTACATGTGACCACCTGGTCCCTGATGCAGGCTACAGCACCCCAGGAGGAGAGGCACGACGTGACCACCCTGTACCACAGGATGGACCTGGAGGAGCTTCAGAACAAGTTTGGGCTTAAGGTGAGGCCCTGTGGGTCCACCCAACACAGGAGGCTGGCTTAGGCTCCACAGGGGATGCAGGAGGCAGTCCTGCTGAGGGCACCCGGGTCTGTACACCTCACCTGACCTGACCCTTCCTGGCCCCTCACTTAAACCTCAGAAATCTGTCCCACCGCCAAGCACAGGTAGTATGTAATCATCCTTGCAGTGGGCAAGATAGCCAAAGCTCAGCACAGCAGTGCCAACTGCACTGCTTCAGGCTCCGTCGTCCCTCTGTGAAGTGCTAGGATGACCCCAGTTTTCTGAGTAGAGCATTGCAGAGGGGATGCTGACTTCTCTGAGGTCTGCAGACTCCCACCCAGGTCTCCAGGTCCCACGCACTGCTCAGAACCCTGGCACAGTTCTGCCTCCTGGTTTCACCTGACCCTGACTATGGTGGCTCCTCATGGCCAGACTCTCAGGTGCCAGGCACTGGCTGGGGGACTGGAGGAGCAGCCCAGCCCTGACAGAGGTGAGTATGGCTTTGCCCTCAACCTTGGGCTCATTCAGCCAGCTGACTCTGCCACCCCTACAACCCCCCCACCCCCACAGCCCTGAGCCATGGCTGTGCCAACCAAGTGATGACAAAGTTGGAGGGCAGAGGATGAGGGCAGGGTGAGCCCAAGTCAGAGGGAAGAGGGGCACAGGGGAACAGTGCCCAATTGGAGGCCCTCTCCTGGCGTAGGCTCCATCTGTGAACCAAACACCTGCAGTATCCCAACAAGGGAGAGGAAGCAGAGAAGGGACTCTAAGACTGTGTCAGAAGACTGTGTCAGAAGGCAGGGAAGAGGGTGGGACGAGGACAGCAAGAAACGGCCACACCCAGTAAGAAGCTGAAGTGGAAGGGAACTGAGCCTGTGGCCGTCTTGCACATGCGTGGTCCAGTGAGTCCCATGGTCATTCAGGCTGCCTGGCTGTTAGAGGGCAGCAAGGCTGCTGGGTGGCGAGAGGATAGTGAAGGGATGGACCATGCTTGACCTCCAGGGGTCACTTCAAAGGCTTGGGCTCTCAGTGAGAGGGGCGTGGAGCCGGACAGGGTACAACTTGTGTCAGGAGGAGCGGACTGCCGAGGATATAGGCTAAAGGATGAGGACAAGCAGCGGGGAGACTAGTCAGAAGACTAGACCATCACTGACTGCTGCACCTCCCAGTCAGTGATGGCCATGGCTTCAGCGGTGGAAGGGAAGGGGCGGCTCTTGTTCAAGACACAGAGTTTGTAAACGGACTAAATAAGGGAAGAAAGACCTCGAATGGCCTGATCTTTGCCATGGAGATGGCATGGAGTAGATTCAGGGAAATGTCCAAGAACCCAGGGTTTGGGGACATTTGATTTTTAATGCTTTTGTAGTGTTTAGAACTACCACAAAGTGAGCACTTCCACACAGCCATTACTTCAACCAAGTAAATCGTTGCTGGCCCCTAGAAGCCCCGTGTGCCTCTTCCCAGTCACCACCTTTGTGCTTCTCCCCAAAGCAGCCACTGTCCTGACTCACCACAAGTGAACTGGAACCAGGCAGAAGGTGCTTGTTTAAAGCAGCCTTCATTTCTTTTACATTCTGTAGGGGAGACTCATACATGCCTCGGCATCTGGCGATCCTGCACGCGTATCGATTGCTGAATAGCATTCAATTCTAAGGACATGGGGACAATTTATATCCCTAACCTACTGTCATTAGGCCTTTGGGTTAATTCCAATTCTGGACGTCTCTGAAGACTGCTGATATGCTCGTTCGGTACATGTCTTTTGGCATGCACCTGGGTACATCTGTTATGTACATGCCAAGGAATGAAAGTGCCAGGTCACAGAACATGCCTGTGTGCAATTATAACAGAAATGCCCAAACCTTTTTCATTTCCCAAAGTCACTGTGCAAATCTCCAACCCCACCCTTGCCACCGCTGGGCAGTAGCCATTCTTTCCATCTCAGTCATTCTCATTCACCTGAGCTCAATCTGACTTTTTCTGACAGTCAATGAAGCAGAGCACTATTTCATGTTGGTTAGCTAGTGGTTGTTCTCTTTTCTGAAACATCTGAGTTTCTTGCCCATTTTTTCTATTGGGCTGTTTGCCTTTCTCTTATTGATCTTTTTAGAGTTCTTTACGTATTTTGGGTGTGACCTCTTGGTCAGTTTCTATGTCCAAATGAAATAAGCAAGCAACTTGAGAATTTATTTTCACAATGGTTCTTTTGTTTCAGGGAGGTGTTAAAATTGTCCAATTCATCAACTTATCAAAGACTAGCAATTTTTTCCTTTATGGTTAGTGTTCTTTTGTGTTCTAAGAAGCCTTATCTACCACCGAAGTTCTTTAGGTTCACGATTCACAATTGAGTCGGTTTTTGTGTGTACAGTGAGATGTAGGAATTGTTCTGTTCCTTCCTTACAGATTTCCAGATAATCCAGCACCGATTACTGAAAAGACCCTCCCCCATTAGCCTCTGGTCTGTGTGCCATCTTTATTATAAATCAAATGTCTTTGTGTCTGCATAAATGCGTCTGTGTGTATGCCTGTGTATGTATTTCTGGACTCTTCTGTTCGTGTGGTCTTTCTATCTACCCACATGCCGACCACTCCTACCTTCATCGCTGTGGCTTTATAATAAGTCCTGATAGCCAGTAGAGCAAGTCTGACAACTTTGTTCTTTAAGATTGTCTTCATTATTTTTGGTCCTTCGTAGTATCATGTAAAACTGAAAATCAGCTTGTTGATTCCACAAGAAAACCTGCTGGAATTTTGATATGGATCACTTTGAACATCCCCATCAATATGGGGAAGACTGACATCGCTGCAATGTTGGGTTTTCCAATCCATGGACCAATGTTCTATTCATTTGTTTCTTTAATTTCCCTCAATCAGTTCTGTAGTTTTCTATTTCAAGGTGCTATACATCTTTTATTAGACTTATCCCTAGATGCTTTTTTATATATTATTGGAAATGGTACCATTTTGTAATTAATCTCATTTATTGCTAAGATATATAGCAATTTACTCAATTCACTTATTAGTCCTGATAGTTCATCTGTAGACCCTTTCAGATTTTATGCACACAAAACCGTATCATTAGCGGAAAATAACAATTTTATATATTCTCTTTTCATCCTTATTGGTTTTGTTTTGTCTTATCAGACTGGCTAGGACTTTTAGCATAATACTGAAGTTATGAGAATAGATGTCCTGTTCTCATCCTGAGATTAGAAGAAAAGCCTGCAACATTTCACCATTACATTTTGTGTCTGCTATAAGGTTGTTTTTGTTGTTGCTCTTTTAAAGATTTCCTCTAACAGATTATAGAACTCCCTTCTATTTTTAATTTGAGCTATTATCATGAATAGACACCAAATTTTATTAAGTGTCTTTGCTGCATATATTGAAATTAGATGATTTTCACATGTTACCCAAACTTATACTCCTTGAATAATTCTAATTTGACTGGGATATATTACCATTTTTATGTAGGTACGCCTGAATTCTATTTGCTAATATTTTGCTTAGATTTTTTCTATCTAGAATCATAAATGATTTCTCTGAGGTCTGCAGACTTCCACCCAGATCTCCAGGCCCTACGTTCTGCTCAGAACCCTGGCACAGTTCTGTCTCCTGGTTCCACCTGACCCTGACTGCAGTGGTTCCTCATGGTCAGACCCCCAGGTGCCAGGCACTGGCTGGGGGACTGGAGGAGCAGCCCAGACCTGGCCTATTTTCTTCTCTTACAATATCCTTATGTTAGTATTAAAGTTATTCTTGGCCTTATAAATGAAGTCAGAAGGGTTTTCTCTTTTTTTCTTCTCTGGAAAGTTTGAGTACAATTGGCAGTATCTATGCCTCCCTTAAATGTCAGATAGAATGTATTGGTAAAGCCAAATGGGCCCGGAAACTTTTTTCAAATTAAAGGAATGTTTCCAATTAAAGATTCAGTTATGTAACCTATAAAACTATATTTTCTATTTCCTCTTTGTCATTTTTGCTAAGTGTGTTTTCCCAGAAATTTTCCCATTACACTTAAGTTTTCAAATATATTTGAAAACATAATTTCTTACCTTTTATAGTCTGTAGACTCTGTAGTAATGTCACCTACCTTTTTTCTGATTCTGATTATCTGTGCCTTCTCTTTTATTTTTTAAAAATATTCTTCAGTGGGGGCTGGGTTTCTTAGATGTCCAGGAATCGTGTCTACCTCTCTCTTCCCCTTCCTCCCCAACTCCCTCCTTTTCCAGGGATTTAACTGGACTCTCTTCATACAAACTGTGCTATCGTCTGTCAAAATTAAGCTGCTGCCAAATGAGGAAGTGGTGGTCTATGGCATCCCCTATCTACAGAATCTTGAAAATATCATGGATATCTACCCAGCCAGGTGAGACACAAGGAAGGTCCCAAGAGGTCTCGGCGTTTTTGTCCTTGCTTTCTGCTCTTCCCAGTAGCTCCTGCTTTCAGGAGAAGACTGTATCAGGCATTTACGCTGAGATGTGAGGGACACGAAGGAGTCAAATTTTAGTTGCAAGTGGAGCCTTACATTAGCAATGTGAGGCATCTCAATGATCTAGGGCAAACAGCCTGTATCTTGGAGGTTGTTGTCTTGGATAGCACTCAGAACTCTCTACTTGGGGTGGAATATGGTGGCCAAGGGTCCTAAGTCATGTCTCTTCCCTTGACAAATACACTTACCTGTTCTATTCCTTCACCCCCTGCCTCTGCCCCTAGAACCATGCAGAACTACCTGGTCTGGCGCCTAGTACTAGATCGAATTAGCAGTCTGAGCCAGCGATTCAAGGATGCACGAGTGAATTACCGCAAGGTGAGCATGACCCTGCAGAGGAGGCTACTGCCCCTACCCAGAACCTGGCTCATCATTCATTTCCTTTCTGGTACTGGGCGTAGGCATGAGCCAACAGGTCATCAGTGGGATCAGAGCCATGAGTGAGGCAGAAGGACCTATCCTCCTGGGTCCACAAAACAGAAATCTGCTCTATCAAAACCAATAAATATTGAGTTGTCAGAAAAGTCATAACATATTTTTCTGTTTTTCTATGCAAAAAATGCATCATGACTTTTCTAATGACCCAATATTATATGAAGAGGAAGAGATGAAGAGGGAAAAGTAGCATGAAGAGATTGGGTTATCACTTCAGTGACCAGAAACAGGTAGTGCAGAGGCTGTGAGACAGGAACAGGCAGGATCCCAAGAGGCCAGGCCCAGGGGCCAAGTGAGTGGATAGGAAGGAGACTGGGTCAAGGAGGGAGGCAAAGCCTAGTAATCATGGGCTGGAGCAGTGCATTTGGGTTGTATTCCATATAAACCAAGAGTCACGGGGTGTTAAGAGCAGAAACAGTCAGAGTCCCTGTCTGTGTGGTCATTCTGGCTGCTTGGGGATGGAGTGAGTGGGACAAAGGAACCTTCTAGGAAGTTGGTGTGGTCATCCCAGTGAGAGAAGATAGGGCTGAACCAGGGCATTGGTAGATGATGGATTCGAGAGTGTTGACAAGAGATGCTGAGAGGTTGGTAATGGGGAATGAGGAACCAAGAGGAGTCAGGGGGACACCAGGGCAGCAGCAGGCTAGGACAAAGCCAGACTCCTATGTGGTATGTTGGGCTGGAGATATCTGTCAACCTAGTGTCAGGGAGGAAGTAGAGTCCAAGATCACTAGGAGAGAAAGGTCATAATGACTTCTAGAAGGCCAGGAATCCACACAACCCAGGACACTGAGCAGATCTGTCCCTGGGCCAACCTGAGATCTAGGGGCAAGTCTGGGCCAACTCTGTTGTCATTTCACCAATGGAGAAACTGGGGCCAGAGCTGGTCCAAGTCAGCTTGCTCCAGGATCAATCAGCCCTGGGCCTTAGAGGTGGGGCTGGGGTCAAGAAGTGAGTCTAGCTAGACATCTAATATAGATCAAGATGGTGAGGGCAGGGACCCAAATCCCAGCCTAGAAAGGAATCCTCCCTTCAAAATTGTATACATATCTTCTCCAAATCCGTGGCCAGCCTTTCAGAGGCACATCTCTGAGTTCATCTTGTGTTCTCCACTGGCCCCTGGGTACCCTGAGGCCCAGGACAGGGAGAGTCTGCTCACCTCCTAAACCTAAGGCCCCACACAAGGCCAGTTGGGAAGTGGATGTTGGTGGATGTGGTGGAATGAGTGGATGAACACATGACTCCCCAGGCGCTGTATGGCACAACAGTGGAGGAGGTACGCTGGCGCGAGTGTGTCAGCTATGTCAACAGCAACATGGAAAGCGCCGTGGGCTCCCTCTACGTCAAGGAGGCCTTTCCTGGCGACAGCAAGAGCATGGTGGGTGCCCTGCCTGCCTCCTGTCCATAGCCCACCCCAGAGCTACTCACCCTAGAACAGCCTCCCCACGGGGACACTGGCCACAGGACAAGTTAGGGAGCAGACTAAATCACCACCACCTTCCCTGTGACTTTCTGCTCCTGGACAGAAGGCCCCATCATCCCCAGCAGCCCATTCATGCTCAGTGGTACCTGGGGGAGCACATGCTTGCTCCAGTGCCCTCCAGATGGAGGGAGGCCAAAGGGAACCCTGCCTACCCTGGAGCCCCTGACCCCTAGACCTTGCAGGCAGCCTGGGAGGGTACACATGGAACATGCTAGGAGTCTAGAGGAGGCAAACCCTGGGCTCCCTCTGAGGACCCAATAGGCAGCAGGGAGGACCTTGTCCCAGGGTGATCATCACCACCAATCCCACCCTTTCCCAAAGAGGCCCACAACGGGATGATCCTGGGCCTGAACTGAGTGGTGTTTTGGTCTAGACCCCAGTAAGTCCCCAAATGCTGGTCATTTGGCCTCGGGACAAACCCAGGACAGGAGGCATGCATGCTCCCCAGGTCAGAGAACTCATCAACAAGGTGCGGGCAGTGTTTGTAGAGACCCTGGATGAGCTGGGCTGGATGGATGAAGAGTCCAAGAAGAAGGCGCAGGAGAAGGTATGTAAGCCTGGGATAACTGGGAGTTGCAGGGATGGGTGGTGGAGCTGGTAACTGAGGAAGCCCCCCGCCCCAGGAGAGGGAAGCACAAGGCAGACTTCATTATACCCACTTTAGAGATGAGGAAAGTGGAGTGGGGCAGAGCTCGCTCAGAAAGAGGCTGTGGGCAGAAGCAAGAATGAAAGCCAAGCCTGGGAACCTCTAACACCCCTCAGGAACAGTGAAGGTGTTCATGACCTTGGGAGCAAGGGACAGGACTCAGCATAAGCCCCTCCGAGTTCAGTGTGACAAACAGTAGTCAAGTAATTTCTCCTAGCCCTTTGCCCCCACCTAGATCCCTAACTGCCTGTCAGGCTCAAAGGTCAGGCTGAGCCCCTGCACATTCTGTCCCCATTAAATAACTCCACAGCCTGCAAGGCAGGGGCTCAAGAAGCTGAGTCCTGTGTCCCTTGGCTCCTTCCCCACATGGCAACGGGGAGCAGAGCCTGGAAGCCCTGGGCTCCTCAACTCCTGCAGTGGTGCAGGCACCACCTGGCCCCTCCTGTCCTCCTCAGGCCATGAGCATCCGGGAGCAGATTGGCTACCCCGACTACATCCTGGAGGAGAAGAACAAGCACCTGGATGAGGAGTATTCCAACGTGCGCCCCCACGAGATGACCCTTTAGATCTGTTTGTCCCCTTGTCCCGCAACCTTATCTGCCCCGCAAACCAGCCCCCACAGACATGGAGCCCTCACTTATCTGGGAGGGGGCATGGTGTGGCAGGCACCATGCCATCCTCCCAGTTGCTAACTCAGCCACCCTCACCGTGCCCTGGAGCAACTCTAACTTTACCCTCAGTTTACAGATGGGACGATGAGGCCTGAAGGGAGTAAGAAACTTGCTCAGGGTCACAGAAACGCTGAGAGACCCCCTACCCCAGCCCACCTACACTTTGAACCTGTTAGCCACATGCCTGGCTGCGTGGCAAGTCCTGAGATCCTTTTCCAGGCACACTCAGCCTCTCCCCAGCTCCTCCATGACCCACCCAAGCACCAGGCAGTGACAGCCCCTCTTCCTGTAGCTGAACTTCTCAGAGGACCTGTACTTTGAGAACGGTCTGCAGAACCTCAAGGCTGGTGCCCATCGGAGCCTCAAGAAGTTGCGGGAAAAGGTGGATCAGAATCTGTGAGTGATGTGGCTGGTGTGGTACATCGAGATACGACCTGCTGGGCAGTGCCAGCTGGCGAGGGCTGCTGGGCCTGCCTCAGAGTTCCCACAGCATCCTATGGCTTCAGGAGCCTGAGCTCCCCCTCCCTCAGGGGCCCCAGAGAGGGACCAAATTTGGGGATTAGCCTAGGACCCTGCTCTAGTATAGCTGCTCTGAAATGGGCTTCCTTGGGGTGGGCTCTGGTCAGCTGGGGCTGAGAGGGAATTGTGGGAGGGTCTGGGAGATGCAGGCTCCAAATAACCAGCTTGTTTATCACAGCTGGATCATCGGGGCCGCTGTGGTCAATGCGTTCTACTCCCCAAACCGAAACCAGATTGGTATGTTCGCCCCCCTCCCCATCGCCTCAACCTCTCTAGTGCCAGAGTCCAGGGACCATGTGTAGCCCCCAGCCCAACCCTTCCTCCAGGGGGTTCCCCAGCCTGTTCTCAGAGGGGAATAGGGACCAGTCTCTCCCATTTCACCCTGTGCCACCCACCTGCGAAGATTTGTTTCTATAGCCCTGAGCAGCTCATGAGGGATTTAGAGGGGGTGTTCAGCAAAGCCCCCTTCCTGAAGACAGCACAGAATGAAGGAAAAAAACCTGGACTTGAGTCCTGGATCTGCCACATACTGGTCCTGTCCTCTCAACCTCTGAGCCTGTTTCCTCATCTGTAAATTGGGGGTAGTCCTAAACTCTAGTTCCTAGGCTGTGGGTGACTAAATGACAGGAGCACCGAAGCCTGACACACAGAAGGTGTGCTCACTCAAAGCTTATTCTGTGTCCTCTACCTTGGGGACAGTATTCCCTGCCGGGATTCTCCAGCCCCCCTTCTTCAGCAAGGAGCAACCGCAGGCCTTGAACTTCGGGGGCATCGGGATGGTGATTGGGCATGAGATCACACATGGCTTTGACGACAACGGTAAGGGGGGCTACCTATGTGGTGCTCCAACCTCAAGCCACACATACTCTCCCCTCTCCCTGAGCAGACTGGGGGGAGGGGTCTACTCTACCTCTTGGTGATTCAGGTGGGGACTCTGAGACCAGTGCATGGAAAGATGTGCCAGGCATCCCAGGAGCCAAGAGCAGGTCTTGAGTGCCTAGCTGGGGCCCTGTCCAGTGGACCTGTTCCAGGCATGGAGAAGACACAGGGGCTCAAATCCATGATCCTGACTCTACCCAGTACCTGAGCCTGGGAAACAGGGACAGCAACACTGCCTGGAACACTGGGGAGGTCAATATCCTCCAGCCCAGGAGTGTGCTGGCCCCTGATATATTGACCTTTACACTGGGAGGAGACAACCTGCCTCGGTCCTGGGGCCTGCTACCATGCACAGCTGGTTTTCCAGAGGCTTAGCCCCACATCCCCAGGGGCTGTGTGTTCCCATCACCTGGGGTTTAGAAAGTTTGATTATCACAAGAGGGCCCTTAAACCACAGAGCCTCCAGGACTCCAGGTCCTAACCTCAGGGGTGGCACAGAAGATTACTGAAGCCCTCTCTGACTGGGGGGCTGAGTAGCCCTCAACAATGTGACAACCCCAACAAGCATGCCAGTGGTCTCCAGGGCTCAATGTCTGTTCACAAGCCAAACCTCTGAGCTCTAGACACTGGGGATGGCTGGAGGAGGTGCAGAAGAGGACAGGTGCTGAGCGGCATCTATCAGAGGGGGCTAGGGCACAGCACGGCAGGGGCACGTAGGCTGCCTGCCCCTCCACAGGCCGGAACTTTGACAAGAATGGCAACATGCTGGATTGGTGGAGTAACTTCTCAGCCCAGCACTTCCGGGAGCAGTCCGAGTGCATGATCTACCAGTATGGCAACTACTCCTGGGACCTGGCTGACGAGCAGAACGTGAGCCCCACAGCTACTCCCAGCTTTGCACCCCAGCCCTGGCCACAGGGGGTAAGGGGAGCCAGGGCCCAGGTTGCCTCCCATCCTGTCTTCTCTGTGCTCAGGTGAATGGATTCAGCACTCTCGGGGAAAACATTGCTGACAATGGAGGGGTGCGGCAGGCCTACAAGGTGGGTCCAAGCAGAAGTCCTTTGGGGGGGGAGGAGATAGCAACCCAGCCCATCTGGGGACAGGGGCCTCCAGCATGGCAGGGACTGTGGCCAAGTATAGGCAGTTTCCATCTGTACTGGGGATACCTCTTGGCTGTGGGCAGGCAGGCACCTGGGCATCTCTCCCCACATTATCTATTCACCTTAGCTGGGAGTGGAACCATTTTACACCTTTCAGTAAGAAGCAATGAATGGGCACACCTGCAAGGCTCAGCTCTCTGCACCTGTAACTTCAGGAATGGGTGTTTGGTGGGCTGCCTGGAACCCCTAACAGAGCCCTGATGGTGTAAACCAGCCCTTAGCTACAGAGGCAGGACCCCCACCTGGGGTAGGTCCTAGAGCCAGACTTCCATTCTGCCTGGGGCCCTGGAGTCCTGATGAAGCAGGCCCAGGCCAGCATGGATTGGTGCCTGCAGGCTTACCTGAAGTGGATGGCAGAAGGCGGCAAGGATCAGCAGTTGCCCGGGCTGGAGCTGACCTACAACCAGCTTTTCTTCATCAATTATGCTCAGGTGCAGTGGCAGGCCCTGGTCCCCTATCCCCCCATCATTGTATAGTCTGCTGCAGAATGTCTTCAAGGGTTCTGTGTACCGCCAAGCCCCACCCCCTACAGAACCAGAACTAGTGGGCCTGGAAGGCTTGCTGGAGGAAAAGGATGGAGAGTGGGGAGTGGGAACTGGGGAAGAGTCCATGTCAGGAGGAGACTGCTGGCTTTTCCTTCTCCATCCCAGAACGGGCAGCCTAGGGGTGGATGGAATTTCCTCCCTGCCACCGCCCTAGGAGTTCGCCTCCCCACCCCTAGCAAGAACTGGGCATCCTCCATCCCCCACCCCAGGTCCGCCTTTACCCTTCCCTCCCATCCCTGAAGGCCCGCCCCTCCAGACCCATGGCCACGCCCCTCGTGCGCCCACAGGTGTGGTGCGGCTCCCCCCGGCCCGG